GTTATGAGATCTGGTACCCTCTTCTGGTGTGCAGATATACATGGAAGCAGAATGTTGTATATATAACAAATAAATAAAATCTTAAAAAAGAACTACAGTGGGAAGGGGGATGTAGATAGATAGACACCTAACTCTGACCTGTGGCCTACACACACACACACACACACACACACGGGGGGGGGGCTTTTTTGGACAGGGCAAGATACCCAAATTACTCAGTCAGGATGACAGAAGGCAGAGAAGAAATGAGCATCTTATACCTCACCCAGAAATACAAACGCAAGTCTTACCTGAGAATGAGAACACAAATGGACACCAGGGAGTAAGCAAGCAATGTCCCAATTGACATGAGGTCCACAAGATCAGCAAGTTCAAAGAGAAATGCCATGAATGCTGAAATTGGCAGGTAGAAAGCAAGTGAGGGAAGGAAGTTAAAGGAGTTGATGAAACAACAAAAAGGGGTGTTTGTTTTGTTACCTGCAATAATGCCAGACACCACAGTGGCCACAATTGGTGTGTGTGTGCCATTATGAACCTTAGCAAGCACACGGAACAGGAGACCATCTTCTGCCATTGCATAGATCACCCGAGGCATAGGAAACATAGAGCCCAAAAGACTGAAAAAGACAATGTCCAAGTGAGTCCAAGTGACAAGTGACTTCACCAGGGATTCGGTTCCAAGCCTGTGTGCTCATAGCATCCCCACCTCCCCTTCCCAACCCTCCTAAGGAGCATTCTCTGGTACAAAGTTGGACACAACTGGAAATGACAGCCACTGAGGAAACACTGACCTAGTGGAAAGAGCACAGAGGGAGCCAACAGCCACAAGGTAGCTGGCAGGATTCCAGCCAACATAGGAAAATGCCTCAGGCAGAGGGCTCTCCGGCCGAAGCATGTAGTAAGGCATCATGAGGGTAAGTGCCGAAGACACACCAAAATAAGCCAGGAAGCAGACGGACAATGAGATCACAATACCCATAGGGATGGAGCGTTGGGGATTCCGAGCCTCTTCCCCTGCAAGAAAACAAATGGCACAAATGTTCTGAACCGGGAAGCAAGTAGACTTGCTTCCCCACCATCCCCAGTCCAGGGAGCCAGGAGGGTGTGACTGACCGGTGGTCGCAATACAGTCAAAACCAACGAAGGCATAGAAACAGGTAGCAGCTCCACGGAGAATCCCTTCCACGCCAAAAGGCATGAAACCTCCAGAGCCCATAGACTCAAAGCTAGAGTGCAAGAAGGAATAGAAACGATAAGAGTACGTCCAGCTAAGCCTGTACATTTTCTCTAATGCCCAGCTGTTCCTTGTCTCCCACACCCATTCTGGACCCTCCCTCCTCCCCCATTATGAACCCAGTTTTGTGGCTTTCTAACCTACAAGTGACATTGGGTCCACCCACGTCCAAGCAATAGTCCTCTTTTGTGAGCTTCCAGTTTTTCAGATCTCCCATAATGAAGCCAGAGATGATGACAAACCCAAGAACCAAGAGGTTCGCCCCTGTGAACACTTTGGTAACCAGGGCGGATTCACTCGCCCCCAGGGCCAACAATCCTGTGGAGAAAATTGTTCAGGATCCTGAGAGATTAAATCCTTCCTCCAAGCTTGCTTTTCCTTTTCCTGCCTCTGTGTGGCAGACTCCTTCCTTCCCAGCTTCCTTTCCTCCTCATCATTATCACTCCCTCAAGCCCTTCCCAGGCCCAACCCCTCCCACCTTTCAACCCCGCCCCTTGCCTCACCAGTGAGCAGCAACCTCCTCCCACCTTTCAACCCCGCCCCTTGCCTCACCAGTGAGCAGCAACACAAGGGCCAAAGCAAAGAAATCTGGATATTCTGCGAGCACATGGGGCACATGCAGCGAGATGGTCCCCTTTAGAGTCTCAGAGATGTGGTTCCCAATCAAATTGTCAAAAGCAGAACTCCAAGCCCGGGCCACACTGGCTGTACCTGGTAGAGTAGTAGTATTTATTGTAATCCAAATACTCAGGAAAATGATGAGGTCAAGTTCCCTCCCTCCCACACATCAGCCTCACAGATTCCCACCATTATTACCCATCTTAATTTTTTGGGGGGGTGGTGGAGGGGTGACAGGTCCTTATGTAGCTCAGGCTTAGCCTGGCCTCAAACTGAACAAACTCATGATCCTACCTCAGCCTCCCGGGTACTGGAGTTACAGGTGTACACCACTAGACCCAGCTCCTGCTATTAATTTTAAAACTCCCAAACAGTATCTTAATGAACACCAGACAGAGGTGTACAATTGTTCTGCACCTTCAATCCCTCCACACACCCCTAACAAATAAAAATATAAACATCTAGAAGTATTAAGATATACTAGGAAAAAATAATAAAAATTTCGCCTTCACCATGCCAATGCAATTTCTGAATCTAGAAGCCTTTGCTACCCGTGTAGTCATCCACCTCCCCCCATTCGCCCCCCCCAGCACCTATCTCACCAATAACGTAGGAGAGGATAAGATTCCAGCCGGTAGTGAAGGCCCAGAGTTCCCCCACGGTGACATAACTGTAGAGATATGCAGAACCAGAGCCAGGGACCCGGGCACCAAACTCAGCATAGCACAGTCCAGCCAACACGGAAGACAGAGCAGCCACCAAAAAGCAGATCACAATGGATGGTCCTGCTTTATCTTTGGCCACCTCACCAGCCAGGACATACACACCTGCACCCAATGTGCTACCCACACCCAGGGCCACTAAGTCGAGGGTGCTTAGGCATCTGGCAAGGCGGGTCTCGCCCATGCCTGGCTCCAACACACGTCTCCGCACCAGCTTTTGACCAAATCTTCTAAGTGCCTGCCACCGCATTCTGGCTGGAATTGAAGAGGATGCTGGGTCAGAGTGAAAAACAAGACAAAAGCCCTTCAACGGGTCTCATTATCTCCAAACTCTTAAAGTGAATTACAAAACCCACTCCACTCCAAAGAGCTACAGGGACAAAGGAGGGTGGGTTGAGGGGGGAAGCAAGCCACTTTACCCCTAACATCCTATTCTTCATATGCAAATAGGAATTACAATAAGGATGCAAGTAGGGATTACAGTAGCTCTGAGATTGGTGGAAGGACTCATTTCAGAAGAGGCGAGTGAAAGCCCCTTGTAGCACAGTGGTTGGCAGCCAAGTAAGTGCTTGGACATTATGTTTCTTCTTTTTCTGGCCAAGAACCTATGGTATTTACCCTAGAGCCCAGCCCAGCAGCCCTGAAACCTAACGTTTCTGTTTCCTGGCCGGTAGCTCCTGGTGAATCAAGCGGAACTCAACTCAGGGTAACTCTAGGAGAGACCCTTCTCACCCCCAAGACCCACATCCCTTTCAGTGCGCGCCTGGCGGGCTTCAAAGAGACATGGCTCCCCACTGCCTGGAAGAAGGAACTGACCTCGCCACAGGTTAAAAGTGGGCACTGCCTTCATCTCATCCTTCCTCACCAAGCCCACAGAGCTCCACCTGAGCCCGCAAATTTTCCCCCACTTCCTCCCTCCCTGCTAGGCCAGTCTGTGAGCATTAGTGGTGAGGCGGGGCTTCCGTATCTGAAATTGGGAGATGCGCGCGGGGAGCGGGGGGGGGTGTGCAAAGCCAGCCCTAGATTACTCATACTCCTCTCTTCGCAGAGTAAGGGTCCCACCCGGTGGCCCTAGATTCAGCATCTTGATTTTATGGTTCCATGTAGAAACGGTCTGGGGCTGCGCTGAAGCCCTGGCTCCTGGGCTAGGGTCTTGCTAGCAACAGGTCACAGCTCGCTGATGCAACTGCAAGCCGTGATTGCCTGAAAAGCCTAGGTATATGAGGACACACACACACACACACACACACACACACACACACACACACACACACACACTGACACACGTGTCGGCCCCAAAGGCTTACCAGAAAGCTGTGACAAGCCCAGAGAGCAAAGATTCTCAGATCCGGTTCAGTGTGGCTGACTTCAGAGTTGGGCTGGGTCTGCAGACTTCAGCTGCTTGTGCTCCTATGCTGCTGCTTAGGGTCGTTGCGCGCCAAGCGCCCCTTATTTTCACTGGGAGGAGGAGCCAGTAACGTCATGGGATCCCACCCCCAAACCCTCTCCCTACTAATGACACACAACCAATATACATACCCACTCGCGGGCTTTTGTATACACACACACACGCACACGCACATGCACACGCACACACACACACTCACTCACTTGGCTTTGCAAGCCACACACACACACGCACACACACACACACACACACACACACACACACACACACACACACACACTTGGCTTTGCAAGCCTGAGACTGCTAAAAACAGCAAGCAGGGCATGACGGGGAACGAGAAAGGGGGGAGGACAGCCTTTTCCTATTTGCCTCTCTGGTGGTCAGAGGACAATAAGAAGCTTCCTGACCATAGATCCCATGGGAATTTTCTACTTTTGTGCAGGATTAGTCAGAATCAGTGATTATAGGCAGCTCTGGGGAGGGGAGTGAATGAAGAGAATTGGGTTTGCGTGAAGGATAGCGGGGCAAATAGCACCAAGTCTCCATTTCATTCTGTCTTTTCTCTCAGCATTCTTGTCTGCATGGAATCCTTCGGAAGGACCATGTAAGACTATGAACAGCCATCTGTCTGCTGACCCTCAGTTCTCACCTTTTACTGTTTCTAAAGCAGACAGCAAAAGAAGGTTGTTTCAAACCACCTGTACATAATGGACAATTAATCCTATGAAGACTTCTAGGCCACTGTGTATTAGTAGCGGCTCTCTACCTGCCTAACAATAAATATGAGATTGTGAACATTTAAATAGTGAGGGAGAGAAACTTTTTTAAATTGTAGTGATAGGAATCAATGCTGAGACTATATCAGTGAGACGCTATGGCCCCACCCTTTGAATTCCATTTACTGGTAATTAAGCTGAAGTTTGGAGCTTCCTAATTATTGTTGAACACCCCTCTGATAAAACCTAGCCAGTTGTTTTAAAGTCTCCCTCCCATAGGCACTCTACCTCATTCAAATGCATAAGAAAGAGGAAGTGTGAAGCTCAAGCAAGAGGTGTGTCCTTCCAGGCTGTGAGTTACTAGGAGACAATAGAAGACTGAAGAATCTTAAGGTGATCCATGTGGCTCTGGCAGTTCTTAGAACTCTCACTGCCTTGATTTAAAGGTTGTGAAGGTATAGTTCTCTTCCACTAAGTTTAGCAGTGAAGGATAGCCCAAAATACATTGTTTCCTTTAATGAATGATTCACCAAGAATGTGTCATCAGTCATCTAGCATCCAAATCCTCCTTGAGAGTCTCCTCTGTAGCTCAAGGTTACCTGAAATTTACTATGTAGCTCAGGCTAGCCTTAAACTAATTATAATCCTGCAGGGTTCAACCTCCTAAAATGCTGTGGTTACAAGCCTGCACCACCAATCCCAGATATCACTTCTTTTTTGAAGGGATTGTTATTTTCGGCTAGGTAAAGCACCTCTTAGACATTCAATAAAGCAGGTTACAGAGATGGCTCAGTGATAGAGCACTTGCCTAGCTAGCATGTGTGAGGCTTCTGCTGACAACCAACCACCCCATTTTACCTCCACACCATAAAGAAAAGGCGTTGCTAAATTGTTGGTATAACAAGTGTTGTGGGAACCTAGCAGTCACTGTATCTAAGGTAAACATTAGAATGAAATAGATTTTTTCACTGCATCTAGGGTAAACATCAGAATGAATATTTGTTTTCTAGAAGTATTTAGACCTTGAAGAAATCATTGTGGAAAACAATGATTATTTTCCATGATTTATAGAATTCTGTTTCTGGCCAGGCGTTGGTGGCGCACGCCTTTAATCCCAGCACTCAGGAGGCACAGGCAGGCAGATCTCTGTGAGTTCGAGGCCAGCCTGGTCTCCAGAGCCAGTGCCAGGATAGGCTCCAAAGCTACACAAAGAAACCCTGTCTCGAAAAACCAAAAAAATAAAATAAAATAAAAAGAATTGTGTTTCTGAGGGAACTTTACAGCCTTTGCATGACTTTGGTCACAAGACGCTTCTAGCACACCTGGAGCTCTTGGATTATTGGGTACTTGGGCTGCTTAAGTGGCATTATGAAATCAAGTCTTCCTTTTGGCAAAGGGGAATATTCAGTGAAAATGTGATGCAGGTTCAAAGTAATGTATTTGTGTATATAACAACAATTTGGCTGTTTAAACTCATAGATTGATTAGATCATGACACTAATTGAAAAACTGATAAATGTTCAGACAAGTAATACAGACTGGAATGACTAACGAAGGCTTCATTTGTAAGACACCGAGGAGGAAGAATTGCCAGGGCTTTAAGCTTACCCTTAAGGAATGTGGGATGGCTAAGCTGTGGACCTACAAAGATGAAAGAATCCAGGGGAGAGTTAAGGTCTTCTGGCAAATGCAGTGTTTGTTAGGAAGCACTAGAAACTAAGACTTCGTAATGACAGATGTCCCTCTCCAGGATTATCAAGTATCTTAAATGTACTAGACAATAAACAAATAATATTTCTTGAAACCCTTCAAATCTCAATTTGGTTCCCCTGGCAACCAACCCCCATCCGGAAGCTATTCTGGAAACCCCAGCCAGCAGTCATCATTAGCAATACAAAAAGACATTTATCACTTTGGAGATTTCAAGGACTTTAGGAACTGGGTCCCAGAAACTTATTACGAATGATGAAATTACAGAGAGAGCATCTATGTCAAAAAGTTCAACTTTTTTGAGGCAGATTTTCATGTTACTCAAACTGGACTATATATAACTATTGATTATCCTGCCTCCATCTTCCAGGTATTAAGATTATAAGCATGCACCATTTCACCCATCAAAATACATTTATTTATTTATTTATTTATTTATTTATTTATTTATTTAGATTGAGCCAGGATCTTGTGTAGCTCAGGCTAGCCTTAGATTCTCTGTGTAGCACAGGATAGTTTTGAACTCACAATCCTCCTGCCTGTCCCACCACGCCCAGCCTTGGAAAAATTCACTCTTTTAAAGTAGGCAATTCAGTAGTGTTGAACTATAGGTACAGAGTGTTCATCCATCAATTTAAGAACATTTTCATCACCAAAATAAACTGGAGGGTCCTGGCAGCCACAAAGCTCTTTAACAAAAGCAGAAGAGACAATTAATAGTGCAAAACAGAGCAAAGAGATTTCTTAAATGCGCCACACTGGGAAGAAGAATAGTTAAGTCCTGTGACCACCCCTCCCCCATCTTTAGAACATTCACATGAAGTTTAGGCTTAAATAGAGGTTGAGAGGTTTAAGCAGTCCTGGCCAAGCTGTGGTCTCAGCTTCACTTTCTTCTACAAGGTGGTCTAGAAGTTGTGTGGCATTTCTTCCAGAAAGACAGACTCCCCTCTGGAGTTTGAGACTGCTGGGGAAATTCCATTCCCTGGAATCCATTGTCTCACTAGTTTGATAGCCAAAGGGAAAGGCACAGGTGTCTCTTTAGAATATCTCTTCCCTGCCAGGATGGTTGCAAACCTTTCAATGTTGATTGGAAGCCACAAAGGTTCTGCTCTGTGGGATGAATACCTATGGAGGCTTACAGTATGCCATGGTGAGGACAGGTGCAGGTACTGTATCATACTTCTTATCCTCCTATATACTTGACATTTGCTGTGTAGATTCTTAACTTTCTCATAACAGATGAAAGGAAAAAATAAAGTGCAATCACATACAAACACACACTCATGCACACATACATACACATGAGTACACACATACACACAACCTGCCAAGGTGTGGTGTGTGATGGATATGTTTGTGAATTAAAGTCCCTAGAAAGATGTCACACCTGTATTGGACATCCTCCATAGGCTGATGGATGA